TCTCTCTTTTTTAAATTAATATGTTCCAGGCTACATCTGTCTTCCAAGATTTTCTCATATCTTTTAGTCCAATAACTTACATTTTCTTGGTTTTCTGAACTATTGAAGTTGTTTGTCTTTTTAAATCTTTTAAGGATAGCTTTTGTATAATCTCAGTGGGATTTTAGGCAGAGAGAAATAGATACATGCTCAGTGTGCTGTCCTGATATAATCCCCACTCCCTTCGTTTTGCATTTTTTGATGCTATCTTAATTGTTGCATAAAGGTGTGTGCCTTATAACTTTATTACACAAAGGTCTGTGCCTCTTGTCAATATAAAAGTGCTTAATAGAGATTGCCATTTTCTAAACTGGTATCAAATTATACTCCTACCAGGAGTAGAAGAGAGGTCCACTTTCTCCACATGCTCTTTAGTCTTTGATATTCTTAGGGTGTTTAAATGTAGTGATTCTGGTGGGTATATAGTGGCATCTCATTGTGGTTTTAAGTTGTATTTCCCTGGTGAATAATGATACTGGGCTTCTTTTTATATGCCTATAGGCCATTTGATAATTCTCTTGAGTGAAACTCTTGTTCAAGTCGTTTGCCCATTTTTCAATTGGGTCGTCTTTCTCTTATTGTTATTAGGAGTTCTTTGTATATTCTTTTTGTTTGTTTGTTTGTTTTAAAAAGATTTTATTTATTTATTTGACAGAGAGAGACACAGAGAGAGAGGGAACACAAGCAGGGAGAGTGGGATATTCTTGATACAAGTCCTTTGTCATATGTATTGCAAGCATATCCATGTATATGGCTTACTCATTCACTTTCTCAGTGATATCTTCGATGAACAGAAAGTCTTGATTTTAATGACAACTAAGTTATCTTTTTTTTGTTGTTTTATGTTAGTGCTTTTTTGTCCTTTTTTTTTTTTTCCAGTTGGGCTTGAACCCACGACCCCAAGATCAAGACCTGAGCTGAGATCAAGAGTTGGATGCTTGGGGCACCTGGGTGGCTCAGTCGGTTAAGCATCTGCCTTCAGCTCAGGTCATGATCCTGGGGTCCTGGGATCAAGCCCTGCATCAGGCTCCCTGCTCAGTGGGGAGTCTGCTACTCCCTCTGCCCCTCACCCTGCTCTCATGCTCTCTCTCTCACACTCTCTATCTCAAATAAATAAATAAGATCTTTAAAAAAAAAAAAAGTCTCAGATGCTTAACTGACTGAGCCACCCAGGTGCCCCTGCTTTTGGTGTCCTTTTAAGAAATTTTTGCTTACTTAAAGGTCATGAAGATATCCCACTTTCTTCTAGAAGCCAGAGTGTTTTAACTTTCACATTTAGGTGGATGATCCACTTCAAAACAAATTTTGTATGTGGTGTGAAGTCTCCCCACCCCCTATGGATATCCAGTTGCTCTAAAGTCATTTATTGAAAAAAACCTTTCTCACATTAAATTTTAGTGGTGCCTTTGTTGAAAAAATCAAATGACCATATATAGAGAGGTCTATTTCTGGACTCCCTGTTACGCTAAGTTGATGTGTAGGTCTGTGCAATAATACTACATTGTCTTAATTTATAGTAAATTTTAAAATCATGTAATATAAATCCTTCATATTTATTCTTAAAGATTTGTTTGGCTATTCTGTGTCCTTTAGTTTCTAGATAAATTTTGTAATCGGTGTGTCAATTTTCACACTTATACACAAAATCTGCTGGGATTACTATTGGAGTGAATTAAATCTTTGTATCAGTTTGGTGAGAATTTTTGCCCAAACCATATTAAGTCTCCTAATCCATGAACTTGACATGGATCTCTCCATCTATTGAGGTCTTTAATTTCTCTTAGTTTTGTAGTTTTCCAGATAGAGGTCTTAAACCTCTTTCATTAGGTTTATTTCTGTTTTTTTCTAATGCTGTGGCAAGTGGTTTTTTAAGAAATTTCATTTCCAGTTTCTTTTAAACCACATTTGTCCTGTACTCAATTTTCTATTTTGATCTATCTTTAAGTTGATTGGAAATCTTCCTTGAATTTCTTTTTTTTTTTTTTTTTTCAGGAAATGCATGTGATGGTAAACATTAGTTTTACAGGCTGGGATTTTCTCTTACCTTCAAAAATGTATAATAAATTGTCTGGGGATAGAATTTTGGGGCCATTGTTTCTTTTTATCTCAATGTTTAGTGAATATTTTTCCACAATCTTCTGACATCTAAAGTTGCAGATAAAAGACTAATGTCACTCTAAATTGTTTTTCTTTTGTGTATAATCTGTTTTTACACAAAAGGTTGTTACCCTTTCTTATTCTAGGAATTGACAGAGTTCCCCCACATATGCCTATTGTGGGGGTTTTGTTTGTTTGTTTGTTTTTTATTAGTTTTGCCTTGGTAATTGGTATACTTTTGATCTAAGGACTCAAATCTTTCTTCAGTACAGAGGAGTGTTCTCCTGCTTCTCTGATCAATCCTAGTGGAATTCTTTTTTTTTTTTTTTTAAGATTTATTTATTTGAGAGGAGAGAGCGTGTGTGCGCGCACACGCAGGCGCTGGAGGAGGGGCAGAGGGAGAGAGAGAATATTTCAAGCAGACTTGCTGCTGAGCGAGGAGCATCATGCAGGGCTCGATTCCACGGCCCATGAGATCATGACCTGAGCGGAAATGAAGAGTCTGACACTCAACCGACTGAGCCACCCAGGCGCCCCAATCCTTCTGGAATTCTTATTGTTTGCTTATTAAAGGAATTTGGCCTCCCTAGGTCTTACCATTTTCTCATTAACTTCAATTGCTTCATCGTTTTACTCTTTGTTCTTGAAAACTGTATCATGTCTTTTTATTCACTAATTTCATTTTGTGTGATGGCCATTTCACTGTTCACTGCTTTTGTTAGCCATCCTTAAAATTTGGAATTCATGTTTTCCAATCCAGCAATGTTCATATTTCAAATTGCTTCCTTTATTATTATTACTGCCTGATTTGTCTTATAGATACATTGGTATCTCTTTTCTCTATAGTTATATTCTTGCCTCAGCTCCTGTTCTTCTATCAGCCCCCATTCTCCAGGCAGAAAAAATAATTTTCCCTTTGCTTTCCATCCTACTCATCCAGTGTGTTATAGTTACTTGCTTATATGTTGACTCCCTTGTCCCCTGTGAGCTCCCTAAGAATGCAGTCACACTTTTCCATTTTTATATCACAGCACCCAGCACAATGTCTTGCATGCGTAGGTGCTCAATACAAGATAGTTGAGTTGAATTGTGTATTGACTCTTCAAACTGGAGGTCAGCTGCAGAAGGGTATGAGGGATCTTTTGAGGTGATGAATGTTCTAAAACTGGCATGTGCTGATGTTTGCACAACTGTAAATTTACTACACATCATTGAATCATACTCTTAAAACATGGATTTGATGGTATGTAATTACAGTTTAATAACTCTGTTTAAAAAAGAAAGACAACTGGCAGGGCAGTGCCTGGCTGGCTCAGTTCAATGGAACATGTGACTCTTGATCTCAGGGTTGTAAGTTTGAGCCCTACATTGGGTGTAGAGATTACTTAAAGATAAAATCTTTCAAATAAATAAATAAATAAATAGTAACTGGTGGCAAAGGTGTAGCAAAGCCATTGCTATTACTGGAAAGTTGAGCAAGGCTACTATAGTAGGAATATATCTTTCCACGTTTCGTGCAAAGTCGATAACTGTTACCTGCAAGAGGGTTAGTCGGATAGAAGGGAGTTGACTGTTTTCAGAAATGAAACTCCCAGATCAGAGATATTTGTCATCTTACTTGGGAATGGTAAATAATTTTAACTGGCTCACCAATTCCCGTGCATTGTAAATATTTGCCTGGGGCACTATATTAAGGATTGCACATGAGCGTCTGGACTCAGTGGAATCGGATGTGGTAATGGATTATCAACATCCGCTGGCGGTGCAAGGGGGTGGAGGGGTGTGTGTGTGTGTGTGTGTGTGTGTGTCACATACATACCATCCTTTATCTGTCCGGTGACACCCAGCTGGCCATGTGAAGGTAGCAGATCCACCACAGGGGGTGGGAAATTATCAAGAAAATGGAATAGAAACTTGTATTTTGTAATGTAAGGAGGTGAGAGGGTAATGAGCTTGTCTCTCTCCCTCTGTGTCTGCTACTCCTTGAGTCTGTGTACAGGGGATGAATATGAGCTGAGGTGTGTTAGATGGCTAGTGCTGCCATAACCAAGTACCACAGACTGGGTGGGTTCAACAGTAGTTCCAGAGGCTAGAAGTCCAAGATCAAGATGGCGGCAGGGTTGGTTTCTCCTGAGGCCTCTCTCCTAGGCTTGTAGATGGCCGCCTTCTACCTGTGTCCTCACGTGGTCTTCCCTCTGTTCAGGTCTGTGTCCTGATTTCCTCCTCGGGACACCACTCATTACATAGGGCCCACCTTAATGACCTCATCTTAATGTAATCACCTCTTTAAAGGCCCTGTCTCCAAATACAGTCACATTCTGAAGTACTGGGGATTAGGACTTCGACATATGAATTGGAGGTGGGGGGGTACAATTTAGCTCATAACATGGGAAACTTTTTAAAAATTAAATAAGGTTAAAATGAAATAGAAACTATATGTTCAGAATCGAAACAAGAAAAAAATACTTCATTCCCTTTGAAGAATATGTATTAATAAAGCAGTCCTTGGGAGCAGTGCCTTGTGCAAATGAGCTGAAGATGGGAGTGAATGCATATCCAGTCTTGAGTTTGTCCCTTAAGTGGCAAAGCCAGAAGTACTAACAGTTGAAGAGTCTCTGTTAGGTGGTCCCTGGTGGGCTGCTTCACCTGCCACCATATTCCTCATTTAGTTTATGGTCTCACATCCTGGTTAGGTTGCTTTTTCAGGCTAAGATCCCAACTTGAACATTGCCTTTCCCCCTCCATGGCAGAATGCCTTTCTAACAGCAGTTTGTCTATGGATAGAAATAGTGTCTGTCCCCTACATGCTGCTATGATGAAGTCTTCCAAACATCCATGCTGTTGTTCCTTTGTGTCTTCCAGAGGCTTTCTGAAAGAAGCTTTCAGGAGAGGAGGCCCAGATGGCTCCAGTGCCCGCCTCATGAGGGGAGAGATCACGTTTTCCCAGGTAAAGGGACACTTCATAGACCCCCTCAAGAAGGCATTCTGTGCCCACATGCCCATCTCCCGCACTGACTAGAAGCTCTCTGACGGCAGACCCATGTTTGCTTCACCGATGTACCCCGTCTAGCACTTCCGTCGTAGGACTGGGATGGGGGCTTAGAGACCCACAGAGAGATAGTTAAGACTGGCTTATTGTCTCTTTGCAGGATCCACCCCATGACTGGAAAATTGCCAACCCCTTGAAAATCTATACCAGGCAGAGTAGCTTTTTTTTTTTTCTTTCTTAAATGGTGATAAAATACACATAATACAAAATTCATCACCTTGATCACTTTTAAGTATGTAATTGTGTAATGTAAAGTATATTCACATTGTGAAGCCATCACCACCATCCATTTCCAGAACTCTTCATCTTGCAAAACTAAAATCCTATACCCCTTAAACAAAAACTCCCATTATTCTTTTCCCCCAGCCTCTGGCAACCTTCCTGTCTCCATGTATGCGGCTACTCTAGCCACATTAGAGAAGTAGGATCATGCAATATTTGTCCTTTTGTGCCTGGCTTATTTCCCTTGAATGATGTCTTAAAAGTTCATCCATGCTGTGGCATGTGAAAGGCTTTCTTTCCTTTTTAAGGATGGATAGTTTTCCATTGTATGGGTAGACCACATTTTGTTTGTCCATTCTTCTGTCAATGGACACCGGGGTTGCTTCCATCTTTTGGTTATTGTGAATAATACCACTGTGAATATGGGTGTGCGAATATCTGCGTGACACCTTGCTTTCAGTTCTTCTGGGTATAGACCCAGAAGTGGGATTGCTGGATCATACAGTAGATCTGTTTTTAATTTTTTTTAAGGACCCTCCATCCTGTTGTCCAGAGTGGCTACCCCAGTTTGCATTCCTCTGAGCAGTGCACAAGATTTCCAGTTCGTCCACATCTTCGCCAATCCTCGTCAGTCTTTGTTTTGTTGTTTATTTGTTCTGTTGTTGATAGTTGTCATCTTGAGAGTAGCTGTTTTCAGACAGGGCCAATTGCGGGGAGGGGTTGTTAAGTAATAACTGGATAATGGGTGGGCTTTGGAGTCAGAGAGCAGGATTTGAATCACAGCTCCCACTTACAGACCGTGTCCCCCCAGCAAGTTGCTTAACCTCCCAAAGGCCCAGTCTTGGCATCTGTAAAATGAGGGTGATCTACAGTCTACTTCATGGATAGTTAGGAAGCTAGGAAAGTGTCTCGCACGGTGCCTGGCACATAGCAAGGGCTAAATAAATAACAGTTACCATTGTGACTACAACCTCCACTGGTTTTTAACAAAGTAATCAGGATCTGAAACCATTTGAATTCTCAGTGTCTGGAAGAAGAAAGGCTATTGAGAATCTATCAGCACACAGAGAACATGGTCTATATTTTAACACTTTTTTTTTTTCTTAAAGATTTTATTTATTTATTTGACAGAGAGAGACACAGAGAGAGAGGCAACGCAAGCAGGGGGAGTGGGAGAGGGAGAAGCAGGCTTCCCGCTGAGCAGGGGGCCCGATGCGGGGCTCGATCCCAGGACCCTGGGATCATGACCTGAGCCGAAGGCAGACGCTTAACGACTGAGCCACCCAGGCGCCCCTATATTTTAACACTTTTTATGAATTAGAGCCACCTATCGGTCTGTCAGAGAACTTAGGGCCCACTGTAGGAGAAAGCAGGAGTCCGCCTTTTCTGTGTGCACACACACAGTGGCTGGTGACTGAAAAACTAATGATACTGCTGAGAATAAATGTGAAGTCAATAAGAAATCTGCAGTAATATTGTTGGAAGAGAAGGAAAGAAGGAAGTACAATGTGTTTTCAATGAACATAGGAATTATAGAGTGAAATTCTAGTAATTGCTATGAAAACCCTGCACCCGTTCTGACTTCTTTCGTCCGTATGTAGCTTCTAGGTAACTTGAATGGTTAGCAGATGAGGTCTGAAATAGCAAATTGCAGTTGATCCTTGAACAACATGAATTTGAACTCACGGGTCTACCTATCCATGGATTTTTTTTTTTTTTTCAATAAATACACATACAGTGCTGTAACCGCATTTTCCTCTTCCATTTGATTTTCTTAATAACATTTTCTTTTCTCTGCCTTACTTTATTATGAGAACACAGTATATAATACATATAACATATAAAATATATATTAATCAACTCTATGTGATTGGTAAGGCTTCTGGTCAACAGTAGGCTATTAGTAGTTAAGCTTTTGGGGAGTCAAAAATTATATGTGGGGCTCCTGGGTGGCTCAGTCGTTAAGCGTCTGCCTTCGGCTCAGGTCATGATCCCAGGGTCCTGGGATCGAGTCCCACATCGGGTTCCCTCCTCGGCGGGAAGCCTGCTCTCCCTCTCCCACTCCCGCTGCTTGTGTTCCTGCTCTCGCTATCTCTGTCTCTGTCAAATAAATAAATAAAATCTTTAAAAAAAAAAAAATTATATGTGGATTTTCAACAATGTGGGGGGTTAGGGCTCTCAACCCCCACGTTATTCAAGGGCCAACTATATATTATGACAAAGGCTACTTAGGTTCAATTTGTCTTCAGAAATCATGTCTTGAAAATGAATGTCGTCTTTTAATTTTTCATTTGTGTGTATGGGCACCTGGGTGGGAAATTTTTTCTCATTTGTGTGTACAATACAAACAGAAAAGTACACAAAGTATACAGTTTAATGAATTTTCACACAAACTGAATGCACCCATGTCACTGGCACCCAGATTAAGAAATAAAACATAATCAGCACCATGGGCACCCCACTTACGCACCTTCTAACGCTACCCCTCCAAGAGTAACTAACCATCCTGACTTCCAACCTTAGAGATCACTTTTACCTATTTTGTACTTTATGCAAATGGAACCACACCGATAAATCTTTTGTATCTGGCATCTTTTCCTCAACACTGTATTTGTGAGAATCATAGATGTCATTGTATGCAGTCATAAATAGTTTTATTCTCATCGCTGCATGATATTCCATTGTATGAAGATACTCTGATCTGTTTATCCATTTTTTTTTTCACCCTGAGATGGAAAGGCATTGGGAGATTTGGAGCAGTGAAGTGACATTATGTATATATATTTGCAGCAAGGAAAAGCGTTTTTTAAAATTTTATTTTATTTATTTATTTGTCAGGGGGAGAGAGAGAGAGCACGCACGAGCAAGCACAAGCAGGGGGAGTGGCAGGCAGTGGGAGAAGCAGGCTTCCTGCTGAGCAAGGAGCTCCATGCAGGACTCGATCCCAGGACACTGGGATCATGACCCGAGCCAAAGGCAGACACTTAACCCACTGAGCCACCCAGGCTTCCCAAGGAAAAGGTTTATTCGAGAGGCAGCCAGACAAGGAGATGGGAAGGCAAGCCTCAAATCCACCTCCTGACTGATATTTTTAAAACCTCATTCTTGCTGCTGCATAAATAGACCAAAAGGGCAAGGATCATTATAGACTAATTAAGGAAGCTATTGGAAGATCTGGGTGAGAGATGGTGGTAGCTTGGACTAAGGTAATATTGGTGGAAGCAGTAAAAAGTGATCCAAGTCTGGAATATTTTGACAGTAGATTCCACAGGCCTTCCTGATAGATTGAGTATGAGTATGAGAGAGGAATGAAGGATAACAAACGTTTCTGACTAGAACCAACTGACAGTTATCAGTTGCTGTTCGCTGCTCTGGGGCTGGGAAATCAGGTGCCCGATTTGGGATATTTCAATTTGAAATGCCTATTGATCTCCAAATAGAGCATGCAAGAGGCAGCTGCATATACAAACCCAGAGTTGAAGGAACATCTTACACACACACACACAGCATATAGATGGCATTTTTAATGCCACTGGACTCAGTGTGATCACTGAGAAAGGGAGTATAAATGGAGAATCCAGAATCCCGGGTACTCTAGTATTAAAGGTCAGGTTGATGAGGGGGACCCAGGATTGAGAGATGGAGAATGAATCTCCACCAATAAGAGAAAAATTAGGAGGGTGTGGAGTCCTGAAAGCCAAGGATTTATCAAGTTTCAGATGAAGAGAGTGGCCATCTGTGTTGATGCAGCTGATGGGTCAGGCAAAATGAAGGCTGGCAAGTGCCCATTAGATACAGCAACACAACATGGAGGTCACTGATAACCTTGGCAAGAGAGGGTAGAATGTGGAATGTGGAGGTCAAAGCCTGATCAGACTATGTTCAAGAAAGAATGAGAGAAACGGTTTGAAGACTATGTGAAGTTTTGATACAAAGTGGGGTAGAAAAATGGGGCAGTAGAAGGAGGGGATAAGGTCAAGAAAGAGGTTTTCTTTATGATAACAATATGCTTGCATGCTGATGGCCATGGTCCCATAGTGAGGGAGATTGCTGATAAAGGAATGAGGAAGGGAGACCCACTGGAGCCACGTCCTTGAAACAGAAAGGGATGGAATCTAGATGGAGGGGTTGAGCTTTGATAAGAGCAATGGACCATTATCCATGGTAACAGAAGGGAAGATGGAGTTCTTGGCCACTAATGCTGGTAGGTGGATGGTGATGGTGAGAACTTGTGAAAATTCTCTTCTAATTATTCTCCCTTCCTCCAATCCTCCTCACTGTTTCTGGGATGACCTCCCTAAAATGCAAATCTACTTATGTAACTCTCCCACTTAACTATATATATATATATTTTTTTTTTCTTTGTGTAACAGTCTAAGGCTGCAAGAGTTTTATTATTTTTACGGAAAGGTGAGTACTTCCATTATTTTTCCAATTTCATTAATGGTTTTAGTCTACTCACATTTTATATTTTATCTTGCATCAGTTTTGGCATTTGTATCTTTTTTTTTTCTTTTTATCTTTTGGCCCCCTTCACCCATTTCTCCCACCCCGTCCCCCACCACCTGCCTCTGGCAACCACATTCTCTGTAGCTATAAGTTTGGCTTTTTTTGTATTTTTTGTTTTTGTTTCTGTTTTTAATTTAATTCCCACATATAAGAGAGATCAGACAGTATTTGTCTTTCTCTATCAGACTTATTTCACGTAGCATAATGCCTTCGATGTTCATCTAGATTGTCACAAATGGCAAGATTTTGTTCTTTTTTATGGCTGAATAATATTCCATTAAAGTTATATACCACATTTTCTTTATACATTCATTCATCCATTGATGGGCATCTAGGTTGTTTCCACATCTTGGCTATTATAAATAATGCTGCAGTGAACATGGGGGGGGGTGCAGATATCTTTTTGAGTTAGTGTTGTTGTTTTCTTTGGATAAATACCCAAAGTGGAATTGCTGGATCATAGGGTAGTTCTAGTTTTAATTTTTTGAGGAACCTCCAAACTGTTTTCCATAGTGGCTGCACCAATTTACATTCCCACCAACAGTGTGCGAGTGTTCCCTTTTCCCTATGTCTTCACCAACATTTGTTATTTCTTGTCTTTTTGATAATAGCCATTCTAATAGGTGTGAGGTGATATCTCACAGTGGTTTTGATGTACATTTCCCTGATGATTAGTCATGTTGAACATCTTTTCATGTGTCTGTTGGCCACCTATATGTCTTCTTTGGAAAAAATGTCTTTTCGGGTCTTCCATACATTTTTTAATCAAGTTGTTTGCTTTTTTTGCCGTTAGGTTGTATGAGTTCTTTATGTATTTTGGATATCAGCCCCTTATCAGATATATCATTTGCAAATATCTTCTCCCATTCAGTAGGTTGCCTTTTTGTTTTGTTGATGGCTTCCGTCGCTGTGCAAAAGCTTTTTATTTTGATGTAGTCCTAATAGTTTATTTTTGCTTTTGTTGCTTTGCTTTTGTTGTCAGAGTCAAAAAATCATCAGCAAAACCTATGTCAAGGAACTTACCACCTACATTTTCTTTTAGGGGTTTTATGGTGTCAGGTCTTGTGTTGAAGTCTTTCATCCATTTTCAGTTGATTTTTGTGTATGGTGAAGTGGTCAAGTTTCATTGTTTTGCATGTGGCTGTCCAGATTTCCCAACACCATTTATTGAAGAGATTGTCCTTTCCCCATTGTATATTCTTGGTTTCTTTGTTGTAAATTAATTGACCATATATGTATGCATGGGTTTATTTATGAGCTCTCTATCATTCTGCTATTGGGGTTTGGGTAGTTTTCAGTTTGAACTATTACAAATAGTGCTGCTATGATAGTGTATAAACATATCACAATCCATTTTGCTGCTAATAAGTGTATTAGTTACCCAGGGCCGCCATAACAAAATACCGCAGACTGGGTGGTTTAAACAATAGAAATTTATTTTCTCATAGCTCTGGAGCCTAGAAACCCAAGATCAAGGTATTGGCAGGGTTGGTTTTTTCTGAGGTCTCTCTTCTTATCTTGTAGTGGCCATCTTCTGTGTCTTCGCAGTCTTTCCTGTGTGTATGTGTGTCCTAATCTCCTGTTCTTACAAGGACACCAGTCAGATTAGATTAGGGCCCACTCATGACCTCATTTTACCTTAATCACCTCTTTAAAGACCCTACCTTCAAGGACAATCACTTTCTGAGGTGTGAGGGCTTAAGACTTCAACATGAATTTTGGGGGAACCCCATTCAGCCCATAAACAGGGGCATTTGTGTAGCTTGTAGTTTCAGGGCTCTTGGAAATAATGCTCCTGCAAGTGCATACACAAACATGTCTTTTTGGTGAACATATGTAGACATTTCCATTGGGTGTGGGTCTAGGAGCGGAATTGCTGGCTCAGAATGCATATGATCAGATTTAGTAAATGCTGCCAAAAGCTTTTTCAAAGGATGGTACCAATTGATCGTCCCTCATCAATTCACTCTTACAGTGGGTGCCACTCATGGAAGAAGACTGCAGGAAATGTTCTGAGGACTCTGGAATCCGCCTCCCTGAGAATTTCTCTGTAAGCCAGATCTTTGGCAAGGTGGCTGCAGCAAGAAAGATCAACCACCCCATGCTTCAGGCAGCTCTTGCCCTCAGAAAGAAGGGTAAGGATCCAATACTGGCCGTTCTCTGAACCAACCACACTAGAGCCCTTGGGTGTGTTAGGTCAGAATACATCTATATGTGTTCCGAGAGCACAGATCTTCTGGACCTTGATGGAAAGCCATTCTTAAAAACATAGCCCTGAAGTAAGTTTTATCAAATGGCAAAAAATAGCACTATCAGAATAGCTGGGGGAAAAAAAATGAAAGAATTTTATTTAATAAAGCAGTGTGTGCCAGAGACTGCGTTGTGAGCAAAGTTCTCTCCCTCCAGTGACACTAGTAATGACCCAACCTCTTGTCACAGTGATTGAAAATCAAGGCCTTTTAAGCAACTGTGATTGTCTCAGCCTCTGAATGTCAAAGTGACTGAGCTATGAGCTGGCTGACATGAATTCAGATGGTGTCAAATGGTCTGGGACATGAGCTCATGTTCATCCAGTAGGGATTTATGTAGTTTTGGAGCCCAGCTCTTCTTCACAGGTATATTCGAAATCATTCTACCCACTTATCAGCAGACTTACCTGGTCATGGCTAAGCCATCCCATGTCCATGTTTCTCACTCATGTTCCATGGAAAGGGTCTCACCACTGACTCATCAGTGCCTTGTTTCCAGCACCCCCTACTTCTTGCCCTTCTTGGTTAGGGGGAGAAAGCCAGGGATAATGCCATTTCTGCTGACATTCCTCTAGTTTTGAAATGGGAATGCAGTCTCCGACAGTCAAGGCAAGAATTTTGAAAGATAGTCAAGCAGAGTTTTCAGTAACATAGACTTGGAAGGAGCACTGGAGGGGCAGTCCAAAGGCAGGATTCTGGGCCTGGCCCAGTTCTGCCTTCACTGTGTGGCTCTGGGAAGCTCCACATTTGTCTGAGCTTCTGTTTGCTCATCTGGTAAGATCTGTCCTGCCTATTCCAGAAGTGGTAAGGATCACATGAGCTGATGAAGATCACAACCTCTTGCTCTACAATTGCAAGGAATTAAGGGATGTAGTGTTTCTATCAGTGCTTCTGAAAGCCCTTCATGTACCCGGTCTGCTTACTCTCCTGTCTCTGTGTCAGGAGGTGCTTATGGGTAAAGATGATTCTTGTCCCATCTGTCAGTTTAGAAGCTGGGCATCAAGAAGAACCCTGCGTGGCCCCTTCTTTGGGGTTCCCTGTGGGGTTATCCTGAGCTTCTTGGAGCAAAGTTCTGTATCTGGTCTAGTCACTGGTGACTTCTCATTCAGGATATACAACCTGCATCCTCACCAACAACTGGCTGGATGACAGCGCTCAGAGGGGCAGCCTGGCCCAGCTGCTGTGTCAGCTGAGGCCGCACTTTGACTTCCTGATAGAGTCGTGCAGGATCAGAATGGCCAAGCCTGATCCGCAGATCTACAGGTTCGTGCTGGACACCATGAAGGCCAGCCCCAGTGAGGTATGTAGACACTTCCTTTAGTGAAAAAGAATGTTCTAGAGATATTGCAAATAAGAAAAATTGAGAAGGAGTGAGCAGATGGAGGACATCTGGGGCCTGGTGGCTTGATTCTAGGTCCAGTGGCAGGTTCCCACTCTCCCAGGCCAGGACTTCTGAAGGACTTTACCTGTCCCTTCAGTCTAGAACATTCTACAAGAGATGGGCATGTGGCCCCTCTCTGTGGCTTTTATAGGTCAAAACAGGTATTGTCAAAACTGCTAGACCAGCTGCCTTAGTTTGCCTATAAAGAAACGTAGACCCTGGGAGATTTTCCCAAGACCACAAGGTGGTTACGGTCACCCTACCAAAGGGTGAGTGGAAGTGGGCTCCAATATTAGAGCTATCTCCTCTAGGAACCCCTAAATTCTGTCTTCATACTGTCTCTAAGTATCTATTCTAAAATTCTGTTTCCTTGTATTCCCCACCTCTAATTTTCAAAAAGGCAATTAGACCAAGATTAAATACCTTTCCCTGATGTTTCTGACCCTTTCTTGTTGGCCCCATCTCATCCACAAGCTGATCAGATGAAACCCTGAACTTCCTCACGGGGAATCCTTACCGGGCTCAATCCCAGAACCCTTCCTCTCTCCTCTTAAACTTTGCTCCTGCTCTTCTCAACCCCTGGATTAAGCCTTGTAACAGTGCTCTGAATTTTAGTATACCTATAAATAAATGTCTTCTCATTTCTGGCTTTTGGGTTGTCAGATGAGCTGCTTAGAAGTCTGGGCCTGCCCTAATCCAAGATGATAGTGCACTTATGCTTTCTTCTACAACTTTAAGGATTTTTTTTATTTTAAAATTTAAATATTTGATCCATTCAGAATTTATTTTGGGGGAAGATGTGAGGGAAGCATCCACTGTTTTCCCCCAAACAGTTAAAATAATTATATAATCTTTTAAGTACTATTTTTCCTCACGAGGTGGACAACACAAATTGTCATTTATATTTGGGTTCATTCCTCGACTCTCTTCTATTTCATTTGATATGTCTATATCTCTTCTAGCTCCCCACTTTTTTTTAAATTTTACCTTTTGTAGCTTCATAATTTGTTTTAGTATCATTACAGTTCTTTTCCAGATTTTTTTTTATCTGTTCATACATGTTGATTTCCTAGATGGATTTTAATATCACCCTGATAACTTTATATCCTTCCTTAATTTTCTTACAGTTTCAGAATTCAGGCTGAAACCCACAAGTGTGTGTGGGAATCTGTACATCTCTCTGTGTGTTTATGGGTATGCTGATGTAATTCAATATTTTTAATTTTAAGAGTAAACAGATATGTGGAGGAAAACATAATTCTTCACCTTGTCGTCATAAAATAACCACTATTCACATTTTAATGTGTGTCTTTCCAGTGCTGTCCCTCACTGGTGAGTTTTGCTTTGGATTAAAGTGATGCTAGTGTCCCTGCTATTTGGATTCAGGTTGTGTTCTTGGATGACGTTGGGGCTAATCTGAAGCCGGCCCGTGACTTGGGGATGGTCACCATCCTCGTCCGTGACACAGACACAGCCCTGGCAGAACTGGAGAAAGTAACTGGGGTGCAGGTAACTCTCTGGGTTGCACTGGGTCGGGTTTCCTGCCCCTTCTCTGTGTTAGGGGTGCAGGACACACAGCAGGCGAGAGGGGGACCGGTTCAGGGAGTTCGCTGCTCCCTGATGGGCCTTCAGCATGCTGTCCCTGAAGAACTTCCTGTTCTCTGAGAGCAAGAATCCATACCAGTCAGAGTCGGAGGAACCAAGACCCAAGGCAGGAGCGAAGCTTTCAAAGCCACCAGACTTCACTGTATTTATTTATTTATTTATTTTAATTTTTTAAGTTAAAAAATATTTTTATTTTTAGACTTGACTTTTTAGAGTAAATATCGAGAATTTAGCTATTAGGTCTGCCCCAGTGGGGGTAGGGAGCACAGTCCTCACCTGGTCTGCCTGGTTATACTGCTGGGACTCGGTGGAGTGGTTTAAACCATCCCTCAGAGAGGATGGGACGCCCTTAATGATGCCCCAAGGGGGCTGCCTGGGGATTAGCCTGTGGTGCCAGAGCCGAGGCCCCTTTTGTTATTTTGAGTTTACCTAAGATCTCCATCCCACTGAGCCCCAGAGTCCCAGGGCCAGTTACACAAGGCTTTTGCAGGAATGCAATGCTTGTGTCGGG